ATCCCTGAATGCACATCAGGGAGACTGAGCAAAGGTTACCATTAGGGGTGTGTGTCTGTCAGCACATGTGTGGTCATCTGTAAAGTCTGTTCACTCGTTTATTTCCTGTTTAGATTTTGATTGACTGAGCCAATATGAAAACTCTCCGCCTTCTTCATCTTAATGTTTCTTTTCTCAGATGAAGATGATGATGATGACGAAGATGAGGATTTTGAGGACGACGATGAGTGGGATGACTAATCAGCGCACACACACATACAGTTTCTCCTAAAAACCTAGTATCTGACTGACTAAAAATGTAAATGTTGTATGAACTTGCTGTATATTTATTTTTGCCTTATTTCTTCTCTTTTTTAAAAAAAAAAAAGATTATTATAAATAATCTGTGCAATACCTGATCCGTTAAATCTGGTCCGTTTGCCACACATCCTCACAACTCCACATGTCATTTCCCTCATGTCATTAGAAGCACTTAAATCCAGCATCAGCACAATGTGGAGACGGCACCAGCTACATTTCACTTTCGCTAATAGGTGAACAGAGAACACTCAACTTTGAGGAGTCTGAATCTGTGTGTGCTCCTTGAGAAATATTTGTGTGCGTTTTCATGTCTTCATTCCTTGAAAATTAAAAGGGAGACCAAATGGGCATGATCATCTGTGTTTGATAGCAGTTGGTTTAGTATTAGAGAACACTATTAGTTTCTTTTCATCCTTTCAAGTTCCCTGCAAAATTTTGGTTGCTTCTTCTTTTTTTCCCTTTCCTTTGATTCATCTGCTGCACCATGTCCTCGACTTCCATGATAGTTTTTGTTTTTTGTTTTATGTTTTTGTTTTTGTTTTTTTTGGGGGGGGGACAGGATATCAAGCAGGATAATGGGGTCCTTTAAAAGACTAAAAGTTGCTACTTCACACATGACTGGTAAGTTAGGTTTTTGTTTGGTTTTTTCATTGGATCTAGTTCTTTTTTTGCCATTCTTGTGACATTCCCTGCAGCATGTGGGTTTGCACTGCCTGTGATCCTGCATCTGTAAACATTGTAGGAAAATTACTTGTTTAAATTTTTTTTTTTATTGCCCTCCGGTGAGGCTTAATGCTGCATTTAGAAGCTACTGACGTCGACCAAGTGAAAAGGGAGCGAGACAGGCAGTGGTGGTGCACAGTCAATAAGAATACTAAATTGTATACCTAAATAAATGTTATTTACAGAGAGGCATTTGTCTTCTATTCTTTGTCTGAATGGTTTACAGCAGAAATTCACTGAGATTTGTCACATGGGATGTATGTGGAGTTGGTTTCAGGGAAGAGGCTTAAAATGACTAGCCAGTTAACTCATGTGCCCAAAATATTTGCATAAACACACCTCTCCGCAGTTCCCTCACACGGACTCGTACCTACACGTACATCTAAAAATAAAATATCTATGTATTGATGGCATATACTGACCAAATGTTGATGACCCCTCCTTTAACCATACATTCTTCACTTCACTTTTGGATCACTCTGACACCACCATTATAATAGGGGGAGACTGCAACCTGGGTTTTAATCCAGGAATTCATAGAAATTAGTCAAATGAACTGGGAGTCTACAGATATTCTTAAACAATACATGAATGATTTTGGTCTTTGTGATGCTGTGTGTTCACATCACCCCACTCTCAGAGACCAGTGCACCACTCACATTCTTCCCGAGATTACATTTTAGTTAGCAGCTCCATTATGAGGGAGATTACAGGCAGATTCGTTCAATCAATATTGGTGATTGTGCAGCAATGTCTTATCTTTGTGACACAAAGAAGATGCATCACCAATTAGGAACTGGAGATTTAATACATCATTACTTAAAGAACAAGATTTCAGTCATTATTTCAAAAACCAGTGGGAAATGTATTGAAAAATTAATTACCCATAAATACTTAAAGTACTCCTTAAACTAGGTTGCAAAGCCCTTGCCAGAAGATTAGAAAAAGTCACTTCATTCATATTAGGTTTTATCAACACTCAGCCAATAAAACATGCACGCTAATAAATGTAAGAGATTATTGCTTCAGAGAGAACACATCTGCAAAACGCTGTTGCAATTCAGCAACATCTTTTCGTTGGTTCTGTATGAGATGGTCATCATAATGAAGGGAGGCAGGAATGGTGGAATTTGGCAGCGCCAGACCTTATTCCACCTCTTTCCTTCTCCAAGCTCACCAAGGAAGCAGTTTCAGCCTTTGTCCATGCTCTTAGGAGGTTAAGGTGCAATTCCTGAACTTGGAGAAGGTTCTCCCTTGATAATCTTCACAATGTGTGTAGCTTTTCTCTCTGGTCCAGAAAGTACAAAATTTCTCTTTTATCTGGGCTTGGACCTCCCCCAGTTTCCTTAAGTTAGGTCCTAAACCCCCTGCGGCTTCCTGCCAAACAGTAACTCAAAGAGAGAAAATCCCATGGAGGCATGGGGCATCTCCCTGCTGCAAACAACATAGGTCTAACCAGTGACCATTTTGCTCATCCTTGTGAATGAACTTACGAATCATGGATTTTAAAATCTTAGTTAGCCGTTCCACCAACCTGTCAGTCTGAGGGTAGGTGAAACAGATCTAACGCCCAATAATTCACATAGTTCTTTTAGTGTGTGAGTATCTCCTTCAGAATGCCAACTAAAGAGAAAACCTGAAACAGTGCCTGCGCAAGACTTTTTGCAGAAATGTTGCACAGCAGCCCTTCTTTGCGATATTGTATTGCATCCTTTAGAACTAATAAAAAGCGAGTGAAGTGCCCGATGAGGTCCGTGCCAATGCATTAAAATTGGACCTCTATTAAAGGTAACAGGTGGCTGGCTGGTTCACCAGGCAGCAACAGAAGCAGCTGCAGCAGTCATTTCCCTTTGGGCCACTGACACGTCTCTGCAATGGCCTGAAAAACCTCCAGGAAGGCCAGTGGTTGTCCCCTTCATCTGTTAGAGTGTCACTGTGGGTTCCAGGAGGGGCAGCGGTGGTGCCCAGGAGGTGCCAGGACGAGCAAAACAGATTGCCCAAAACTTTGGTGTAGCGCTCAGCCTGGTTCTGCTACCGTTCTAGCTGTTGTTGGTGCACTGCCATCTGTTCCATATGCATGGCGGTAACTCAACCACGATCTTGGCACATTTGCTGGCTACGCCAGTTGCTGGTCCATTGGCATCACTGTGGAAGTAAGACCCGTCACACTCAGCACTGTACTATGAGTGACGATTTATTTATAGTGCTTTATATACAATAACAGAGGTGTAGCTTTTCAGCTTCTGTTGGCTAAGTTTGCCCTCTTCTTGTCCTCTGTCTGCTCCCACTCCTCTCTTCTGGGTCCCGGCATGCTACTCAAATAGTGGCGACATGATGAAATTAATGAGAGACAGCTGTGACCTCCAGCCTTCCGTAGCACTGCCCCCTGAACCCACTGTTACACCCCGCCCCTTCAGCTGAGACACAAACCATACCCCACCACACCTACTATTGCCTGGTTTGAGTCACTAGAGTCAAACATCTCAAAATCTTTATGGAAAAATAAACCATCACAAATAAGTTTAAAAAAATATACGAAAGACAAAACCCAATGTTGGTCTAAATTAAGCTTGTTAGACAGCCCATGGCTGAAACTAGAACAACTCTGTGGAAAAGTGAAAATCTGCCTTTCATGAGCTCCAGTGTTAAGCATCATAGCTGTTTTAAAAGCCATAAGAAAGAGTGCAGGAATTTCAATTTTTTGATAAAAAAAATAAAATAAACAAAAGCAAAACAAAAGTAAAAATTTAAAAGCAGTAAAAGTAAGACTGACATTGTGTCTCTGTCAATGATGCTGCATCTCCAGCAGACAACAGCAAAATAGATGAAACTCACTATCACAGGCTGGTAGAAGATCTCTAACATCTTGCTGCACACATTAATGGATCTGAGCTTCCTTAGAAAGTATATTGTGCTCATCCCCTTCTTATACACAGCATCACTTATGGTCCTCCAGTCCAGTCCGTCATTCAGGTGAATACCCAAATACCTGTATCTATCTACTGTTTCCACCCTAGTTGTATTGGAGATTATGTATCGGAATTTCAGGAGCAGGACCACGCCTCCAAACACGCTCCTTCCTGTTGTCATCTGTATAGGTTCCCCCAGTTCTGCAAACTGTTCATTCTCATTTACGTGCCCCACCCTCCCTCCCTCCTTGTTTTCAATTCTTTAACTTCTTCATTTCTATTTAGTACATGGGGATCTGCCAGGCCCGGGAGCCGTCGCCAATCCCCTTCGAGGCCTTCCCCAATCCACAGCTCAATTCATGTCAAAGCATTTACTTTTACCTACTAAAATGCTGTTAAACCTAAAATGGGGACGTGGGCCCAGCAAGTGAAGTTTTTATTCTCTGGAAGTCAACCGCCATCTTTTTTGTCTTGCTGAGATTCAGATGGAGGTGATTGCTGCCTGCCCACCAGCTCCCTGTACTCTGACTCCTGCCCACCCTAAATGCACCAAACCACTGCTGTGTCATCAGAGACCTTCTGCATGTGGCATGTTTCACTGTTGTACTACAAATCCGAGGTGTAGAAGGTAAACAGGACATAAGAGGTGACACCCATCTTGAGCAGCTTCTCACTCAGCAGAAGTAGTTGGATGAAGGCACAGGAATATAAAAAGAAACATGATACTTGCATGTCACCAGTACCATCCTGGTGAGAGTGACCATGCTGCAACAGGTAGACAGCAGTATTATCCACCCCCACAAGAGGCTGGAAAGCAAACTGAAGAGGGTTGAGAACATGTTTCACCTGCAAGCTGAACCAGTCTCTTCAGCACCTTGATGGTCAATAATGGTCTGAATTCATTAAGGCCAGAAGGGGTGGCTTTATTTGGTACTGGCACTGACAGTCAAGCGTCAGCCAGCAGAGGTTGCATGAGGAGAGGAGGGCTGCTGAGACAGGGCAATGACGGGGAGGGGGTCAAGCTGTTCTAGCACTGAAAGCAAGTCTTCACCAGTTTTTCTCACAAAGGTGGTCTCAGTCTGGAGCTGAAGGGGTGCAGCAGAGGAGGATGTGGATGCAGGGAGGTGTTGATGAGAGAAAGAGGGGATTTACTTTGCACACAGGTATGTTGATGAGTGTGTTTGTCAGCTGCACACACGCTGACTGCTGGTGAGGCAGGTTGGTAACACCTGGCTGTGTCTGTGGCTGCTGGCATGGCTCTGTCACAGATGAATGAGAAGAAGATGGCTGTATCTGATCTGGCCTCACACAAAGCTTCTTGGCTTGTTGAACTTCCTGTTCAGTCTTTTTTGTTTCAACAAATCTTTGAAATCTTCTCTCACTTGTGCTAGAGGTGCAATGTCAGATTCTCTTTCTCTTTTTGCCCTAAAAACAAACACAATAGAATTTTCAGGAGCTGATACAAACTTTTTTCAGTGATCTTTTCATCGTTCAGTTCAGTGATGCACACGTGTACGGACTGCATGTTGGCAGTTTGGACATACGTAGTGTCTTTGGTGGACCAATCAGGATTCTTTTTGGTGTGACGGCATCTTTCTGTTTCTGCCTGACTGAAATATGTGGCCTTCTGTTCATTTGACAGTAACTTCCACTGTGGACAGAAGATCATAAGAACACACTGTCAGCATGCATAAGTACACAGCTACACTGCTACAACACATAACTATAGGACAGCTGCTACACATGCACAAACACCAGCATAAAGCATGAACAGATACGTATATATATGCAGATTTACACACTTACACTCGTTCCCACAACTGCATTTACCGCTGCACTTCTAGTGATGTTCAGCTCAGCCATGACCTTTGACCTCTGCTCTGTCAGGTACAGCATGAAAGCATTTGGTGGCTTCTTAATATATGACCACTCTTCATTCTGCTGGGATTGATGCTTTTTTTTTTTGCTGCAGGAATAAAATGCAGAGTAAAAGCATGTGTTACCTCTGTATACAACTGTGAGGAAAGTAGTTTAAAAACAATATGGATAGTGGAATAAACTCCACTTCCCATGACTATCCAATAGGAAGCAGTGTATGGGTTGATGCAAAAGCATGCAGTATTCTGGCTGATGTGCAACTATAACAACAAAACACATGCATTATAAGAAAACAGATTTTCAAGATGTATCATATATGATATAAACACACATATTACTTTAAGAGTGCATTTTAAAGCGGACCATGAGGTCACAGAGAACCTGGTGTGAATTATTATGAGGCAATTTATAAATGAAAAGTTACTGAAGATGTGACACGTTTTCTTTTTCAAAGAAATTTGCTCATGGAGTTATCTTTGACCAAACTTATAAATTACCCTAAGTGGAGATTCTGTTCATGCAGTTGCTTATTAATGAGACCTTTTACATCCAGGTCATGACCTTTGACCTTCTTCTGATGTATTGTGGATAATGTTCAGTTCTAGTGTTATTATTAGTTGGGGTTTAGTCTAGTTAATATTGTCATTCATGCTCTCTGGTTTATGTGTCATTTTCCTGTTTAGGTTTGCCTTGTCCTCTATGTATAACTTTTAGTTTAGCCTCATCCCCCTTATCTGTTCCCATGTTCCTCTCCTTGTGTTCCTTTCCGTTCCCCCAGTCTGTCATGTATTTCATGTCTGGGTGTTCCACATCCTCTTGCCAAGCTTGTGTTGTCACGTCTACATCTCTCCATGTTTTCTGTTTTATTTCGAAAGTCTTGTGTTTCCATGTTTAGTGTGTTTAGTTTTGCTTCCCCTGTGGCGTCAGGTTAATTGGTGACAGTTGTGTTTCTCCAGGTGTTTCCACTTTCCACTACCCCGTTACCTTTCCATGTTTAAGTCCTCTGTCTTCCTTTGTTCAGTAGTCAGTTTGTCTGTTTGCCTTGCTTAATGTCACGTCAGGTCCTAATCATTCCAAAATTCAGAAATGTCAGCGAAACATCAGGGTGCACAATTTAAACATAAATTTTCATCACTTGGTCCCAGGTGGAGCGTGGAGTGTCATTCCAGACTCCTCCTGGAGCGAATTGCCAGAATCAATGGGGTCTCCTGTGAAGGCCCTGCCATTTCTTCCTCCCCTCGGACAGTGGTGTCGGACAGCCTCACCACTGAGCACAGCTTATATGGGCTCATATGATAGTTGTTTTTTTTTTTGTTTATTTGGTTTCTCCTTTCCTTTTTTATTGTCATTACCCTATAAGACTGGCGTTGGTTGTCACACTTTTCAATCTTGCATGAATTGTTGATCATTGAAACATTGTTCAATAATCATTCTTTTATTAAATCAAAGCTTAAGATGCTGGTTCAAAATGGGTCTCTAACCCTAACCAAAAAAAAGTAATTAGCACTCTGTCACTGTGTAACAATCAACCCCATAGCAGGGTTGGTTGTTACACACCTCTTTATAAACCTAGCTACCACTAGCTTTAGTTTGCTAGTGAAAAACTGACTTCACCTTTTTAATAAGTGTCCATATTTATATAATGGCTAATGTTTTGTGATCTATCATTTATTTCATTTATTTCAGATTTATTTATGTAGGTAGTCCCTTTGAAATTTAATGTCTCATGTAATATAATAAGGAAAGCCATATGAAAAATTACTCTGACCCATGACAATTACATAAAACTTCTTCCTCTCAAAGTTTTATGTTCACATTCACCAATAAAAAACAAAAGAACAAGTTTGTCAGGTCAAATGTGTGATATTAACACAACTCTACAGTTCTCACTAATGTGCCAGTAACAAGCAATGTGACAACCAACCGGCCACACATTTTTCAGTAACACATGATTGGGAACAAAAGTTTTCATTTCTTTTGGTTTTAGTTTAAAGTAAAAAAACAACAACAACAACAACAACAGGCAATTAAACGTGAAACTTTAAATCAGCCAGTTGTGCACATGTGATGAGAATAATTGCAAGAAATTATTATGACATTCCCCTCGGTGTTACTTTTTTTTTTAAACCAATTGTTCACCAATAAAATTTACATTTGGTAAAATTTGGTGCTTTATAGTACAATTGGGTCACTATTTGATGAGTACAACAACAAGTGCTAAATAATTTGTCTTGTGTCTTGCAGGTGTCTCCTCCTGCTACAGGGAGTGCAGCATTATTAGGCAAATGAGTATTTTGTCCACATCATCCTCTTCATGCATGTTGTCTTACTCCAAGCTGTATAGGCTCGAAAGCCTACTACCAATTAAGCAT